ATAAACAAACTGGGAGAGTAAGGAACAGTTTATCTGTCAGATTTACGAAGAACAGAAGAATTCATGATCAAACAGGAAATGGAGAACATTATGAAATGCAAAGTGGATAATTTTGATTACATTAAATTGAAAAGTTTTTGTACAAACAAAGCCAATGCAACCAAGATTAGGAGGGAAGTAGAAAAACAGGGAAAGAGTTCTAACAACCACTGTCTCTGATAAGGGCCTCATTTCTAAAACATAGAGAATTAAGTCACATATATAAGAATACAAGTCATTCCTCAATTGATAAATGGTCAAAGTATATGAGTAGGCAGTTTTCAGATGAAGAAATTAAAGCCATCTATAGTCACATGAAAAAAATGCTCTAAATCACTATTGATTAGAGAAATGTAAAACAAAAGAACTTTGAGGTACCACATCACACCTATCAGATTGGCCAACATGACAAAAACAAGAAAACGATAAATGTTAGAGAAGACGTGGGAAAACTGGAACACTAATGCATTGTTAGTGGAGTTGTGAAATGATCCAACCATTCTGAAGAGCAATTTGGAACTATGCCCAAAGAGCTACAAAAATGAGCATACCTTTTGACCCAGCAATAGCACTTCTAAGGCTGTATCCCAAAGAAACCATAAAAATGGAAAAAGGACCCACATGTATAAAAATATTTATGGCAGCTCTTTTTATGGTGGCAAAGAATTGGAAATTGAAGGGATGCTCATAAATTGGGGAATGGCTGAACAAGTTATGGCATGTGAATGTAATGAAATACTATTGTGTTAAGAAATGATGAGCAGGTGAACTTCAGAAAAACCTGCAAAGACTTGTATGGACTGATGCTGAGTAAAGTGAGCAGAACCAAGAGAACATTGTACACAGTAACGGTCAAGTTGTGTGATGACTAATATTGATAGACTAAGTTTTTCTAAGCAATGCACAGATGTAAGACATCTCCAAAGGTCTCATATGGAAAATGCTATCCACATTCAAAGAAAGAACTATGGGGTTTGAATGCAGATCAAAGCATACTATTTGTTATTTTTTTTCTTCTGTTTTGTTTCCTCTTTCTGGTGGTTCCTCCTATTGGTTCTTATTCTTCCTTATAACATGATTAATGTGAAAATATTTTTAATAGGAATGTATATGTATAGCCTATATCAAATTGCATGCCATTTTGGGGAAGGAGGGAGGGAGAGAGGGGAGAAAATGTTAAAACTCAAAAGCTTATGGAAGTGATTGTTGAATCAAAATAAACAAATTAATAAAAAAGATGTTATTTTTCCCCAGTTATCTAAACTCAGTCAGCATGTTTCAAACATAGGCTTTGAATTTGCAGAAAGACAGAAGCTCACTTTCAATTACTTGGAGCAAACCTGTCTCTGGGTAATGGAGTACTGAAAAGCCCTTGAAATAAAATGAATGAAAATTACTACTGTTTTTTCTTTGAGCCCTATTAGTTTCTTATCTCTTTAAAATGTAGTTCAGTCTTCTAAATTCTCGCTAACATTATATTACTTAGTGGATTTGGAGTATCTTTCTGAAGGATAACAAGTCCCAGTCTGGCCCAATTGTACATTTCCTCATATTGGCTTTCCCCACAGGATTTGGAGGAAGATGCTAAATGTAACTAACTGTAAAGTTTTAAGATTTTAAAACCTTAGACTTTCTGGAAGGCAGCAATAGAGAAAGAATGCAGATTTCATTTTTATAAAATCACTGACTTTCTGAAACTTTCTAATTTATTTTCAACTTAATGGAAATAACCATTCCTGTATTAGTAATCTCATCCTCAGAAAAAGCTACAGTAGGGAAAGCCATGAGCTTCTCTGACTTAATATTCACTACCCTAAAACCAAAGCTGCAAATGCATGGATTTGCATGGATGCAACTGCATCCATGCTTCTTTCTCTCCATAGTTTTACCTTTTCAATGAATGCTACTTCATTTCTTGACATCACAGAATGGAAATAACTTCTGGTAGATGGCTAATTTCTCTGTGTGTGTGTGTGCGTGTGTGTGTGTGTGTGTCTGTCTGTCTGTCTGTCTCTGTGTGTGTCTCTTTCTCTCTGTGTCTGTCTGTCTATCTGTCTCTGTCTCTGTCTCTCTCTCTTCCTTAGAATCTTTGACTTAATGCAGAAATGATGCTTGGACAACAGGAAGGAAGAAGGGAGAGAGAGAGAGAGGAAGGAAGGGACATAAGGGGAGGAGGAGAGGAAGGGAGGAGGTAGAAAAAAGGAGGAGGGAGGGAGAAAGGAAGCAAGTGAAGGAGGGAAGGAAAGAATGAAAGAAGGGAAGGAGGGAAGGAAGAAATGAAAGGAGGAAAGGAAAGAAGGGAGGGAGGGAAAGTTAAATGCTTTCACAATGTTTTTACAGCTAACTACTGGCAAAGATAAGCCTAGAACCCACAACTTCTGCCTCCCAGAATAAATAGTTCTTGTTCCTTGTGACTTGATTCTAAACACATGCTCCCCCTACTCCAAGTACATTAGAGTTTTTTCATAGTTCCCTATTCTCAGGGATCTCTAGAAGGTATCTTCTGGGAAAGGAAAAGGGTCTCTTGTAAGGTTCTGCTTTAGCAATTTTAAAAATCAGATAATAAGCATTAAATTTGTATAATTCCTTTTCTCTTAGACTATCTTCCATCTATTCTGTGTGTATATTTATATATGTATACACCCACATATAATGTTTTCATTTTGTCCTCCCTATTTGAGTTCTGAACTGGTATTTGCCTTTCACAGGCTGCTAGGTGGTAGAGTAGCTAAAGCACTGCACCTACAAGTAAGGTAAGACTTCAGTTCAAATTAAGCTTCAAGCACTTATTAACTGTGCCCCCTATTACCCTATGTCTGCTCAATTTCCCCATGGGGATGATAATAGCCCCTCTTTCCCAGGATTGATGTGTGGATAAATAATATTTGTAAAGTACTCTTAAAACCTTAAAACATTATAAATGGCAACTATCATCATCATTATTAATGGGATCCCCAGTGCTTAACACAATGCCGGGCACATACTAAGTGCTTCACAAATATTTACTCATTGAGTAGCATATTCCAAAGTGAATAGCAGTAAGAATTCCAAATATATTTTCCCACATAGATTTATAAGGAGTAGAGTCTACTCCTCTGATTGAATTCAGACAATATGTTTTTTAATCTAGTGTGATGGCTAATTATTCTCAAAACATTTTGACACTTCACTTTGGGTTCATTTCATTAAAAGGTAATTATTATTATTCTGCTCCCTAACAATTTCATCTTCAGATGCCAAACATTTGAATGTAGAAAATGTAAATGTCTGTAGGGGAAGGTCTCTTGCAAGAGATGTTGTACCTTTAAAAGCTAGGAAAGAAACAAGAGATGAACCACAATATTAACAGCTATCCTGTAGTTAACAGGCCAGAAAATTGTGACTCAGATAAAATTGTGCTGTATTGCTCTTCACTCTACTGGGAAGATCATCAAATACTCAAGAGCAACTATAAACAAACTATGAACAAATAGGTGAAACTATATCCCCCCTCAATTCAATCATTTCAATTGAATAATCATGATTACTAGCTTCATACTTTTCAAGCACATGATTTTTTCCTATAATCAATTTATTTCGAATTCTAACAACTAGTTCTTTCAATGTTAAATTTTCAGGTGCCTGAGAAGTTAAATGGCTACCTCCATTTGAAACAAAAATCTGTATCTACCACCACCTTGTGTTAAAAACCTTGAATCTCCATTTGTGCCCTGCTTACTTGATATTCTCCCAAAGGACTTGCATTCCTGGTCATAAGCCTTATTTTGGTTCTTGGCTGCAATGTTAATCTAACAAAGTGCAGAATAAACAGCTGCTACAAAATACGTAGGTGCAGGTCAGTTACCTGATCTTTGCGTTGTATTATCACACCTAGATTTTTCTTTGGGCTATCAGGAAGTTCCCACTCCCCAGTTATTTGTCTCACCCTGTTACTCTCTCAAACAAGCTGTTAGACGTGATTTGTTCTGGCTCCAAGATCTTAAATGTCCAAAGACAGTCTCATGTCCACTGATGAATGCATGGAGTGAAACGATTGAAAGAATTTCTCTAAGAGTCAGGCGACATTAGAAAGCAGGCATTGCCTTAACCTTTTAGGTTAGCACAAGTTTATGTATGCCTTTATTCTTTTGACCACAGTCAACCTCCTCCCCTGTTTTTGGTCAGCTAACTTGATAGACAATCAAGAGATGCTCAATTTAATAGCAGCTCTAGTGTAAGGACTTTAATAGACTGAGAACTCTCTTCCAGCACTCCTCATTCTCTCTTCCAGTGAAGGAGAAGTGTTTCTAGTGGAGAAACTAGTCCCAAGTTTATGCAAAGGAAAAAGGTAATGAAAAGAGCAGGGCTCTTGTGTCAGGATAACTGGGGTGAAATCCAAACTCTGGCATTAACTATGTGACCTAAGCAGGTGACTTAACCTCTCGGCTTTTTTGCCCATCTATAAAATAAGGAGGCTGGATTACATTATTTTAAAGTTTCCTTTCAAATGTAATATCTCCTATCTCAATTTAGCAGAGTTATCTGGAACTACAGATGGGCTCCAATTAGGATTTCAAAGATATGGGGAAAGAAGGGAAAGAAGAACAGAAAAAAGTCAAAGTACAGAGATGCTAAAATAAGTTTGTTTTTCTTCTTTGAGAGGCTGGAGAGAAGAGGTGGAGAATGAGCATTTTCAAGGCGAATTCTAGTTATTTTAATCAAGGCTACTCCTAAAAATTCAAATTTAAGCAACTAAGTCAAATATAATGCCCTGTTTTTATAAAGTCTGACAATGCATATTCCCACAGTTGTCCAGAAACGAAAATACTCGAAATGCACAAGCAAGGAGGTATCAGGCCCCCACCAAAAGGTATGAGAGAATGACGTTTATCGCCAGCAGACAGAAGTTCCGTGGGGTGGGAGTGGGGGCAGGAGAAGGGGGTTGTCACTGAGCAAGTTTGCGAGGGCATGTGTAAACTTACAGGACCGTGGTCTGCTGTGGCACCTTAGGGATGTGATCCAGCATCAAGTGCATGCAGCGGATGGTGCTCTTAAAGCAAAGACAACGGCTAGGACAGGACAGAACCGGGAGGACCCACACAGCCAGGAGAAAGCCCGCGGTACAGCAGCCTCGTTTGGGCTCCATCACTGCATTCGCGGCGGCGGCAGCAAAGGCGGAGAGGGCTGTTGGGACTTGGAGCAGCCACGCTCTGGAGCTGCTCTCAAGGAAAGCACAATTCTTGTCCAATCAGCGAGGGGGCAGATCACATTACAGAGGCTGCGGGCACCGGGCAGCACTGCGCTCAGAAGGGCAGATTATTAGTCTTGTCAATGTAAAAGTCCTCTCTTACCAACAAATCCATTCTTTAGACAGGCTCGTATAAATATTAACTTTTTCAAAGGTGCATTCCATCGCACGTTTATATAGGACCCATCCTCACTGCCCCTAGCTTTCCTTTTGAAGCTTGGCTTGATTAAAATTTTATAGGATCAATGCAGAGCTGATTTTCTTTTTTCTCTTTTAAAGTCACCAAATCCTAAAGGGTAGAATTCTAATTAGATGATCTAAGCACAAATATTCCTTCACTACTCCAAAGTCTGATCATTTAATATGCAGTGAAGACAGGATAGAAATTATTTTTATAGTAGACTATATGCTTAACTGGAAATAAGTTCATTTTACAAGTAGTCAAATTAGTTGTAATGTTTAAATGTTAAATTCGTGGATCTACAAAACTATGAAAGCCTACGGTACTATCTGTGGAAAAGATGGTCTAACTTTTCAAATAAGTTTGCAAGAGTAAAATACTGAGAGGATAATTTTATTATTTTTTTAAAATGTTCCACTTGGTCAGCCTTTCATTTTCTGTTAGTAGGGAACTTTTGACCGAATGCTTACATTGTTGTGGTTCTGATACATACTTCAGTCAATCAAGCAATTAGTAAAGACTTATTCTGGAACAGTCTCAGTGAAAGGTAAGGAGATGACAAAGACAAAGAGGAAACGGTTCTTTCCTTCAGAGTTTCCATACCTGGGCATAATTTGTGAATAAATATTAGGTTAATAGCCAGGTAGCAAAATATAATGAGTAGACTGCTATAATTAGGAGTGAGTACAAATCCCAACTGAGACACTAATCTTTTGTATGGTCATCATGGAAAAGTCACTTATATTCTCCATTAGCATCAGTTTTCTCATCTTTAAAATGAGGGAAGGTACACCATATACTAAAATAAAATCAAAATAAGTACACGATTTAGATAGAAAGGTTGATACTATAAGCAAACTGGGAGAGCAAGGAATAATTTGCCTGTAAGTATGCTTAAGGAGAACAGAAGAATTTATGACAAAAAAGAGAAACAGAACATTATGAAATGCAAAATGGATAATTTCAATTACATTAAATTGAAGAGTCTTTGTACAAACAAAGCCAATGCAACCAATATTAGGAAGGAAGCAGAAAACTGGGAAAGAATTTTTACAACCAGTTTCTCCGATAAGAGTCTCATTTCTAAAATATATAGAGAACTAAGTCAAATTTATAAGAATACAGTCATTCCCCAATTGATAAATGGTCAAATGATATGAACAGGAAGTTTTCATATGAAGAAATTGAAGCTATTTATAGTCATATGAAAAAATGCTCTAAATCACTATTGATTAAAGAAATGCAAATCAAAACCACTCTAGAGGTACCACATCACACCTATCATATTGGCTAACACGACAAAACAGGAAAATAGCAACTTGTGGTATATGAGTGCAATGGAATACTATTGTGCTATAAAAAATGATAATGGGAAAGTCACTTGAACTCAGGTCCTCCTGACTCCAGGGCTGGTGCTCTATCCACTGAGTCACCTAGCTGTCCCATAAAGCTAGTTGTCTTTCTTTCTTTCTTTTCTTTTCTTTTTTTATTTTTGGCTAGGCAATGGAGTTAAGTGATCGCAGCTCAGACACTTGACACTAGGCAAGTCACTTAACTCCATTGCCTAACCAATAAAACAAAACAAAACAAATAAAATAAAATAAAATAAAATTTTAAAAAATGATGAGCAGGTGGACTTCAGAAAAACCTAGAAAGACTTGTATGGACTGATGCTGAGTGAAGTGAGCAGAATCAGGAGAACATTGCACACAGTAACAGCCACATTCTTTGATGACTAACTTTGATAGACTAAGTTTTTCTCAGCAATGCAAGGATCTAAGACATGTCCAAAAGACTTATGATGGAAAATGATATCCACATCCAGAGAAAGAACTATGGAGTCTGAATGCAGATTGAAGTATAATGTTTGTTCTTTTTTTTCTTCTCTTTTCCTTTGTTTCTTCTTTCTTGTGGTTCCTCCTATTGGTTCTAATTCTTCTTTACAACATGACTGATGTGAAAAAATGTTTAATAGGAATGTATATGTAGAACCTATATCTTGCACACCATCTTGGGGAGGGAGGAGGGGATGGAGAGAAAATTTAAAACTCAAGAACTTATACAAGTGAATGTTGAAAACTAAAAATTAATTGATTAAAATGAAAGCTAGATTAAAAACATTTAAATGGGGGAAATAATAATTGAATTATCTACCAACAGTATTATAATGAGTAAAGTGCTTTACAAATGTTAAATCTTAAATGTGAGTTAATACAAGATAAATTTAAAGGAAATATCTATTCAGAAATCCATTATTTTAAACAACAATTTTTAAATGTTTTAATCTGAAGAATATAAATTCAAATGTACTTCTCTACAATAGTACATTTTACAAAACATGACCATTATTTTAAAAAAAACACCTTAAACTGATATATTTAAATTGAGGTAATAGCACAAGATAAATGAACACACACACACACACACACACACACATATGTGTATATATATATATATGTCAGGTAAAAAAACAAGTGGAGTACTGACTATTGACAATCATCTTTATAAATTCGATGCTATGTTTGGCTAGCCCTTACAGTCTACTGTTGGCCAATACTGCCCTCTTTTGGCAAAATGTTTAAATAGATTATTTTCGTCTTTAAAATTTTTTTGGTGTGTGTTTGGGAGGCAGGAATGCACACAATTTCAAGGAGAGATTATTTTACTTGACTAACAAGAGAAGAAAAAACAAAAGCAGAATTTTAAAGTTTGAAAATTTTCATGGTTTATTATCTAAACTGATTTTATTACAAATTTACAAATTTACATTTATTACAAGTTTACAAATTAATGAGGGGAATAGACAGGAGATGTGAGGAACCAACTTCTTCCTGTCTATAATCACATAAGTAGGAGCCAATGTCACCAACTTGCTCAGGTGTTCTGTGCATGGAAAAGATGCATGAATGCTATGAATGTTAATTTCAAGATTAATAAACCAATTAATGTTGTTTTGCATTAGTATACCAACTATCTGGGGAGGGGGGAGGGGAGAAATCCAACCCTTTAAGAAATCTCTTTTATCAATTCATACATCAAGCATCTAACATGTGCTAGCACAGATTTGATAGATTGGGTAGAGTTACAAAAGAAATAGATACATGTAACCTGTGAGGCACAGTGGGATATGGCAGCCAAAAAAATGCTAACATAATATTAAACTTCACTGAGAGGCATAATATCCAGCACTAAGGAATTGATGAGCCCAGTATACTCTGTGCTACTCAAACCACATCTGGAGCACAGTATTCAATATGGATGCCCTATTTTAGGAAACATATTGATGCTAGAGAGCTTCCAGAGAAGGAAAGATAACAAGGGTTTTAAGTTGATGTCATATACTGATCTGTTGAAGTAACTAGGGATCTTTAACCTAGGGAAGGAAAGATTTGGGGGCACAGAGTGATACATGATGGTAGGACAAGAATTGTTCTACTTAGTATTTAAAACACACACAAAAACCCTTCACTTGAAGTGCAAGTGTTCTACACTCATGCCAAGAGAAGTAAATTTCAACATATAGCAATATTAGCTAAAATTACTCAAGGCATTCTTTTACTTATTAAGTAAATAAATAAATAAAGCCTGTGTTCACTTTTAACCATCTATATTCTAGATTTTTGTCTTAGTCAAAAGGAAATGTGTGTTGTTCAATCATGTCTGACTCTTCATGACCCAATTTGAAGTTTTCTTGGCAAAGATACTGGAGTGATTTGCCATTTCCTTCTCTGGCTCATTTTACAGATGAGGAAACTGCCCATGGTCACAAAGCTAGTAAGTGTCAGAGGCCAGATTTGAACTCACAAAGATGAGTCTTTCTGACTCTAGACCTGGCACTCTGTCCACTTTTCCACCTAGCAGCCCTAAAGAAAATGTACATAGAGGCAGCTAGGTGGTACAGTGGATAGGGCACCAAACCTGGAGTCAGGAGGACCTGAGTTCAAATCTAGCCTCAGACACTTGACACTTACTAGCTGTGTGACCCTGGGCAAGTCATTTAACCCCATTGCTTAGCCAAAAAAAAATGTACATGTATAAGTTAAACTGATTTGATTTTATAAGCCCTGTGGACCCTCATGGCTGTGTACCAATTCTTTTATTCTTTCCTGATTGACTATGCCACTCCCCAGTATTTATTCCAAATTCATCTCTTCTTTCTCAGCAGAAGATCTCTTCACATTTTTTTTTTAAAAACGAGGCATTGCAATGGGAACTCCATCTATTCTTCATTTCCACATTTTAAGTCATCTCAATATCATCCCCTATTCTCCTTCTTTGCTGCACCCTCAAAGGTAAGGCGCCTCTCCTTGGAAACACCAGCTTCTCTACTTGTGCCATAGATCCCATCTCATCAGATTTTCCCTGTGCACACTCCTTTCCTAATTTTCAGACCCTTTTTCATTGGCTCCTTCTCTACTGCCTAGAAAAATAAACAGGTCTCTATCATTAAATTTAAAATTTAAAAAAAGCTTGAACATTCCAGCCCCTCAAGCTATGACTCTTTAAACAGTCTTTTTCATAGTCAAACTTCCAAACACCTGCTGTCTATACTTTCTTACTTCCAACGCACTTCCCAGTCCCTTGCAATCTGGCTTTCCTTCCCATTACTACTAAGAAGAGTAGTTGTTCTGGCCACATCTTCTATCTCTTGCTGTGCATGGCCAAAGAGTGTCTTCTAAAGGAAGGCAAGTAGGGTCCTGGCAACTTTCATCTCCCTTCTCTGAGAATTCCACCCACTATTGCACTTGCCTG